TCGATTCAGCTGTTTGGGTCAGACCAAAAGTTTGGACCTATATACTGTGAAAGGGCCCTACGCTGCTGAGCATTTTCAGTCCAGTCGTGATGTCTGCTTGAGGGATCCGTACAAAGTGTGTTAAACTGCAGATTGGGTAGAATATAGATTTACCTGACTGGCTGTAAATGAATCCATCTCCCAGTCCTTTTCCTCTGAAAACCGGAACTGAGTGAAGGAATCTCCTGAGAAAGACACAGAAACAGAGTTTGACATATAAACTGCTGCAGTCGACTCCCTGCAGGACTGCTGGGAACTGCAACCGTCTGTTTTAGTTCAGCTCAAAACAACACTTATCCTCTTATTACTTATCCGGTATTTCGAGCACAAAGACAACTCCAGGCTGTGTGTGATTGAACCAGCTACAGTGCTCATGTAAGCCTGGCGAGTGGCTCTCACACCTAAAATGTCTGAAATGCTGAACCGGTGTTTCTCTGGAAAGCTGTCAATAGCTTTGTGTAAACTGTTGATCGGTACGAGAGCTAAAGCAGGGCGAGCATGCGGCGCCACTTTGCTTCCAAAACATCAACTGGCTGAGGGCTCTTGTGACTACAAAGGCACTGAGCCGGTATTATTAATGAGCACCAACGGCAGCAGTGCCACACATTCGGCGGACGGGTAAGGACGTCTGTTCAGAGCTCTTAGCCGTTTTTATGAAGAAAACAAACACAGATAAATAAAGGAGAAAACTGTCCGGATGAAACTTGTGTTGTTTGTGTGAGGCAGCGAGGAGGAAGCACGCATGAGGAGTCGCAACGCGGCATCCAATACGACCACTCCACGGGGGTCAGGAGCTAAGTACCACTGTTACAACTCCTCATGTTGTGGATGAGATTTTCATTTTGGGTGGAAAAACAGGCTGGCTGTGAATAATTCTAGATGAAGTGGAGAAGAGGTTATCTTTGTTCAAAACATAGAAGGAAGGAATACTTGAATGCTACATGACGCTAACAGTTAGCCAGTCTTTTGCTTGAGGCAATGAACGCTTCGTGCTTTTGAAGGGAAAACATCCGGTGAGTGATTAGCCTAGCTTAGCATAAAGACTGGAAGCACAAGGACACAAACTAGCCTCTCACCAGCACATCTAAAGATCACTAATTAACATACTGACTCTTGTCTGTTTGTTTTGTTAGTAATGTAAACAATTTATGGTATTTAGGGACTATTTCTTGGTGAGCAGCTGGGTGCAGGTACTTCCTGGAATCTTATTTGTTACAGTTACAGCACTTAACTTCCTCTAAAGCCACAAACAATTGTTTTTATTCCTTCTGTATATTTTCCTGCTATGGAAACAACCTTTTGGTACGTAATTAGTGACAGCAAACTGAAAGTAAAGTGCTGGTAAACATCTGCATCCTGGCTATAAATGAACGCAGAGAAACTTTACAGCTAACAGCTGTGCCTTGTCTGCGAAACATGACTTTGTGTGAAAGGTGCAAGGTAGTCCTGTGAGGTGTCATGCATCTAGAAAAAAAGGGACATAAAAGTCTAAGCTCAAAACAATGAATGAACTGAATAAATAAATTGATTTACAGCACTCTAGTGAATTATTAACAGACACCCGGGGAAAAACAGCCTTGAAAACAACAAAGGATTGAAAAATTAGGACTGAAACTCACAGAAAAGTGGGAAGTAGCTTTTTTGTAAATTATTTTTTGTTATATTTTAACCACAACATCCCAGGTCTCTACTGGTACCTGTCAAATGCCCCAAATATATTTTAATATTTATTTTCAGAGCTCTATAACACTGAATGTCAGAAATGAACATACAGTATGAAAGAGTCTCCTGCGGGCTCATACATTTGGTTTAAACCACAGCTGTTTTCAGTCAGGAAATGAAAGCCTGAAGCTTCATCAGCACAAAGCCAGCCACAGAGGAAAATACTTATTCCTTAAATAACCAACATGGAGTACAACTGATGCAGGATTTAAGGAGGAGGATGTGTTACTCTCACTTGCTTAAATCAAAGCACACTGATGGTGAACAGTGTGACTTTTGCTGTGGTCAGTGTGTCACACACAGATGGAGGGTCAGTGGGAGACCTGACAGTCAGTCGCAGCCTCTCGTTTTGTTCCTCGGCTCTCTGTAGATTATATAAACACACTCGGCCTTACAGATGGGACGCTCAGCGCCATCTGCAGTTGTCCTTGATTGCTTGGATGTACAGGAAGTGAAGGGGATCAAGAAGGAGAGGCTACAGGGGGGCTTTTTGTCTGCGTGCCGAGTCCCTGCTGTCAAACAGGCAGAGAAAAGATGATTCATGAATAGGAGCATTATCGAGGTTACAATGACTGCGAGGCAGACGGATGAGAGAAGGGAATGGGGGATGTCAGCTTTATGTGACGGCCGAGGGGGTGGATGCCTTTATGTTGGGCCACACAGGTGTCTGATATCAGTAAGATCGACTGATTTTCACCCTCCGGGAATAACCTGGGCGCGTAAAACCTTGATCTGGTGGACGTAAAGTCGAAAACCTTAAACCTAAGACTGTTGTTATCTTAAGCACATCAAACATAATTTGCTAACGTAATATTCTGAGCACATCAAATTCAAATAAGAAACCAGGGAACCATTACTCAGTGACAAAGTCAAGAAAAATCCAATAAGGTGGAGACGATCCATTTCAGCTAACACGCTGCAGCCTGAAATAAAACTCAAAAACACATAGGACACATCACAACTGCCTATTAGGTTTTATAAAGCTAATTAAAGCATTCATTTACCAATATTTTTTGTTAACACGCTCATTTGTTAACAGTTAGGATGCAATAATATGCGTATATATTTTAAAGTAGAGGTTTCTGATCTGTTTGTGTCCTTTTAAAGGACAGGTTGCAATTTTGGGCAATTCAACCAAGTTTCTCAGATTGTTATATTTAAAGAGGTAAAACGATTCAGTATTCCACTAAAAACATAGATTAAAGAAAAGTTAGGAGCAATAAAGATTTGTTAAAGGCCCAGATTTAGTGCCACCTAGTGGTGGAGGTGCATATTGTGATCATCTGAATACAGCTCAGCCTGCCAAGCATGAGGGAGAAACTATGACGGCGGTAAAAAGCACAAAAGGCCCCCCATCGACAACCAGGGTTTGGTTTGTCCTTTCTGGGCTACTGTAGTAACATGGCGGTTCAACATGGCGGACTCCCTGGAAGGCGACACAACAAAAACACAACGATTCCTATATTCAGGTGATCGTACACTAATGAAAACATACCTGGATATTATATTCCATTTCTGCCAACTGATCCTCCTAAATGAGACACACTGGACCTTTAAATAAATTACAGCTATAAATGTTTGACTGTTTATAATATTTGATTATTTCTAATCATTTAATTTCACAGTTGATGTATTGTGGTCAGATTTATATTCTTCTCAAATATCAATGTCAGTATCAGCCTACAAATAATCCCGTTCTTCCTGGGCTCTAATGGAAACAGAGAATGATGCATTAAAGAGTCACTTTCTTGTGTAGGTCATAATTTGTGATTCATCATGAAGTACAGGAAAACCAGTATAATCATGTCATTCAAATGTTATTATGTCCTCTCCAGTGTTAATGGAACAGCTCCAGGATTTAGTGTGTGACTTCCCCCCCCCCCCGGGTGCCTCGATTCATTCCTCTCGTTTTGTTGTTGTTGACGGATCTAAACTGAACGACTGTGTTAAAAAGGGAAATCTGCACTGAGCTGAAATTACCCTTCAACAGTGGCTGCAGCGAAATACCCTCGCCTCTCACTCTCATGTTCACTCTTTTTTTTTTTCCGGCTCCTGCTCCTCTCTGGTTAATATCTTCCCAGACCCTAATCCTCCTCCTCTTCCTCCTCCTCTTTATCGTGTCTTCTGGAGGTTTGAACACAAGTTTTTCTCATCCTCGCTGGCAGCTGTTGCCATGGTTGTCGTCAGCGCCTCCGAACTACCTGGGATGGTATTTCCATGGACACAGATCAGGATGGCATTGGGTCTCTGAGGTGTAGGAGGGAGGCAGTTCACTGGTGTCAGCAGTTCTGTGTGTTGGAGACCGCTGACGGAGACAGAGCGGGTGGAGGAGGAG